TGCCTGGTGACCCTGGGGTGCCACTCTCGCTGTCCTGCCTACCTGGTGACCTTAAGGTGTCACTCACTGTCCTGCTTGCTTGATGGCCCTGGGGTACCACCCACTTCTTGCCTGCCTGGTGACCCTGGGATGTCACTCACTGTCCTGTCTGCCTGGTGACCCTGGGATGTCACTCGCTGTCCTGCCTGCCTGGTGACCGTGGGGTGTCACTCGCTGTCCTGCCTGGTGACCCTGGGGTGCTGCTCTTATTTGGATGATGCATGTTGGCAATGTTGCATGAGGAGTGCAGGCTCAAGGTGACAGAGTGGGACAGCGAGCTGGGCACCTGTCCTGGGAATTAGAGCAGCCCCAAAATGCTGGGAGTGGCCTGAAATTTGGGGATTTGGCTGCAGCCTTGTCCTGCCCTCACAGCTCAAGGGGTGTGGGTGACACACAGCGTGTAAATGTGAGCACATACAAAGAGATGTGCTAATTTGTATTGATTTTAGATCAGTTATCTCTATCCAGATGTCTCTAAATAAGAAGGGAGGGACATCTTGGCCTCTGAGCTGTTGAATATGTGGCTCAGATGCCCAGGAAAGAGGAAATTCTCAGCATTTCAGGCTGGGGCTGGGTGGTTGTTGTACCAGTGGTGGCAGATGTGTGGGTGGGCAGGGTCTGGCAGCTCATAGCAATGTCCCTGGTTTAAAATGTTCCTTGATCCCTGGAACCCTTGTGGCTCCTCTGTGCCATTCCTGATGGCTCTGGCCTTGGGAAACCTGGCCTTTGGGGTCAGGTGTGACAAAYGGAGGGGACATGTGGGTGTGACAGATTGGGGACATGGCAGCACAGTGAGACACTGAGCAGAGGACAGCTCTGAGYTCGGGGTTCTTCTGTCCCAGTCCTTCCCAGTGTGGAATTTTGGGCGCTTTGCTTTGCTGCAGCCCCTTCTCTGCTTCTCTCGGTGCCTCTCAGAACCCACCCAGCTCYGGGAGCGCCAGGCAGGAGCCATGGCAGGGATGCTGGGGCTGTGTTGGAGCTGAGCTCTGATCCTCTGGGCCTGCCAATCCGCACCTTCTCCCCTCCCCTGAGATCAGGGCTGCTGGAGGAGCCTGATGCCAGGATTTTGAGATGAAAATCTCCATATTTATGGAGAATATAGAAAATATTCCCTCTGTGTGGAGATGTGGCATCACTGCCCACAGCCCTTTCTCTTCCCTTCCATCCCACCCCGCTTTGGGAGCAGCTTGAGGCAGTTCCTGGGATCTCAGCCTGGCACAGGGGCCGGTGTAGGAGAGCAGAGCGAGTTCCTGTGCATGGGAGCTGGGCAGGCTGGCATGGAGGGCACTGTGCATGGGCATGTTCCCTTTCTGGCACACATGGGGGCTCAAAAAGCTCCTTCTGTGTCCCCCAGTTCCAGTGTCCTCAGAGCACTCGGAAGGGGCTGACAAAGACGATGTGCGCGTGCAGCTGAAGAGGCACCAGAGCCCCAGCCCGACCCCGTGCGCCAAAGCCTCCAAACGAGCCAAAATCAAGGTGACCATTGTCTCCCACGGAGATGCTGCGGGCGTGGGCAGCGGAGCAGCCCTGGGCACCCAGGCAGAAAGTGAGTCCTGAGCRCACAGCTGCCGTGTCACCCCAGAAMGGGGCCCTGGCTGTGCCCAGAGCCGCCCTCAGGGCGCTGCGGGGCGGGGAGGGAGCTGCGGGTTAGGAATTCCTCGGTTGTGGAGGGAGCTGCGGGTCAGGGATCCCTCGGTTCTGGAGGGAGCTGCGGGTCAGGGTTTCCTCAGTTCTGGAGAAGGCAGCTGCAGGGAGG